ACTGCATCATCGGTACTTATTGGACAGTATCCTTCAGTATAGATATAATATAAAGCTGTGGGGTTTTACTACATCATCAGTGCATATTGGACAGTATCCTTTAGTGTAGATACAATAAAATGCTGTGGGGTTTTACTACATCATCAGTATCTATTGGACACTATCCTTTAGTGTAGATATAATATAAAGCTGTGGTGTTATACTGCATCATCGGTACTTATTGGACAGGATCCTTCAGTATAGATACAATATAAAGCGGTGGGTTTTTGTCTGGGGAGTTTATTAAGTGTGTAATTTGTTGTAAATTTTGATAATTAGTACATATTGGACAGTATCCTTTAGTGTAGATATAATATAAAGCGGTGGGTTTTTGTCTGGGGAGTTTATTAAGTGTGTAATTTGTTGTAAATTTTGATAATTTTTTGGTGCCGAATTCAATACAAAATGGTGGCCCCCATATAAAAAAAAGTTCATATAGGCAGAATTTTTAAGTATTTTTTTTACAGTTGTGTGAGATGATATTCTTCAAAATGAGGGCAGGTTAATCAGTGTGGATAATCCAAATTAGCCAGGACACGGTGCTGCGTTTTTAACCACGTAGATCTCACCACGATGCTATCACGCTGCTTGTACGATGATGGCGTTCCCACTACGTTCTTAAAAAGACTTTGCCCCAGCTTTTTTTGCCACGACCCCGCTACGCTTATTTTGTGCACGTTCAAAATTATCGTAGGGAGAACATGCAACTTCCCGACCTAGGAGATCCCACCCCGACCTAGGAGATCCCACCCCGACCTAGGAGATCCCACCCCGACCAAGGAGATCCCACCCCGACCCAGGAGATCCCACCCCGACCAAACCACGCCCACCTTTTAACGTTATAGAAGCGGCGTCTATGTGTGAACAACACTCGTGCAAAATAAAAAGTTCGAGGCTGAGTTTAAAGTTGAGCAAAGTTGAACGATCCTTAAGGTATTATAGGCCATACTCTTTTAGGATTGTGAAGAGAAGTATTTTATACTGGTGTGGCTTCCCCCTTTATCAATCTTCAGGAAAGGATCAATGCTACATTTCGATATTTAATACGTATTCAACATGCCACTTTGTTACAATGAATAAAAGGAGTTATGCGTGCCGAATTGTTCTGACCTTGAAATACTATTTTTTGTTTCCTTTTGGTACTTAGCATCAACCGTTGACCCGTTTTTGTACGTTATTACTTTTTTATGGTATTTCATACGTTTCTGTTCTGTAGTATCGGACTGACCTCCGGAAGTTGATGATGACCTTGGCAACTTTCATGTTACGGGACGCCAATGTCACACTAGACGAGGCAACAAAGGCCGAGAGACTCAACACGTTCATCGACGACGCCTACTACGTGGAGTCCATGTTGGCCAATGTAAGCCTAGAGCAGTGAAATGGCTGTGTATCTGTATTCTGTGTCACACCCATGGTCTTTTAATAGTGTTAGATAGCGCTAATTACCTTATTTATTTATAATGAAATATCCAATTTATAGCAAGAATATAAGAACCTGATTCCTAATCCTTCTGTGAACATTATATATCATATAAGCTTCTTACGTATATTGTTGTTGGTGATCACACAAATAACCCATTGTCACGCGGATTAGCTAAATCACAGATCTATAACCACAGATCAAGTGTATCAGTTACTGACTCGAGAGTAGAGTTACCGCCCCACAAGTGTACTAATAAAACCATGGTTAATTGTGGAATTCTCGAGTTAAACCGCTCACTTCACACATGCTTCCATAATAAGCGTATACATTGCAGAAAGGGGATTGTATAGCACCGGACATGTCATAGTGCTAATCAACCCAATAAATCACCCTGTTTAAGTGTCAATTTTTGAAAACTCTAATGTTTTGAAGAACATTGAGTCGTAAAAAACCGTCTAAATCTAATATCGATACATATCTAATCCTATTTTACTTCATAGCATGACACCGTATGATCAACTTTACGGAAAAATCTTTGTTCCATCCGATGGAAAGGTTCTTCAAAACCTATTTCATCCGTACCATTAACCGTCCATCGCTTCTAGCCGTTTTGTTTCGGAGCTACTGCCCCATCCTTTGGGTTTGCTATTCTGATATATACATTCGTAACAACACATTGTTTTTAATAATTCAGACGGTAACATTTTGATTTATTACGTTTTTTGTATTGTTAATAGATTTTACAAACAAATGAATGTGTGTTTTTTTTACCTATATCTGATATAATTTGTTGTACAATTTTTTTTTAACATTTACCATGCAAAATGGAGTACGACAATTTAGATTTCATGGTAATATGGAATATGAATAAATGCATTTTTTTATATTTCTGAAATGAGTTATTTTTTTCATATTTATAATCTACAATGTTTAGCCAATATACAAGTAAATGGTTTGCAAAAAGGGGAATAAACTCAAAACTGTCTGCATATTGTAGGCTTTAGTCATTTTATTGGACTCTGAACATGGGATGTACTCATAAAATGCCTCAAAACTGGAAAATATGGGGTAAAAGTTCATAAAAAATTGGGAAATAAAAATATATATTTTGTTCACTTCACAAGAGTTTTTGCTTTCATACTTATAAGAAATGCATTTCTGCTGGTAAAGTTCATATAGTGGGTTGCAGCGTCAATGTAAATCTATGTAAATATTTACATACTGAATGTCAGGCCCAGTTATCCTGAACTCTTCTAGTTGCTAAGCAAAAGTAAGCATTCAGGAGTGAGAGGTTCTTTCCAAAAGTGACAATTTAGTGAAGAAAGTTTTCTTTTTAAAAATAGAATCACAAAATTCTTCATGATAATGTAGTTTTATACTCCTTATGAACAATTCAAGTTGAGAAATAGACAAGAGACAATGTTTCTTGGCGTTCTTAATCTGTAATGAGGAAATCTTTGACAGCCCGGTACTGTATATGTATTGCGCTATTTCAGTCGTGGCTATATTTATCATTAGCTTTCCCAAAAGAAAAATATGACCACACTTAACGTTGGCTTCAGATCATGTCATTCTCAACTAAGTTTCGTTAGGAGGTACATATTCTCAGTATCTCATCGATTTTAAGGGTGTTATTTGACTGGATAGCCCATTTAAGGATAAAGTATCACAGCACAAAATACCGGAAACAGATATCTAATTCTAACTTCAAGACTCTACCGTGGGCCGCCACTTTCCATTTGTTTGTATTAAACGTCCATCGATCTATACTTATGCTGTATCTAGTCTCGCGAAACTGGAATATATTGTAAGAGGATAAGTTCGTGAATATACACACGATGTATTACCGGAAATGAATCACGGCAACATATAAAACCGAGAACAAAATGGCTTGATATTCCGCAAACACCAAGTAAAGTGATCGTCATTTGTTATATTGTTTGGGTGTTAATTTTTGATAAATTGTTTTTCCTTATCATGAATGACAAGTGCATGAATGAATCATTATTGAATATCACTACCTATACACTGATATACGAGCAAGCACCGCTGTGTCGCCCACGTGCATCAACAGACGAACACGTGACCAAGTATCTCAATTTGTCACAGTGATGAATTCGGTCTAGTATCCTTGATACGATTATTTTGTCATGGTCTTTACGCAGTGTTAACCATGTCTGATTCCCCGCGTATGATTTCCTTTCATTTTCTATTTAGCTCGCCTTTTACTGAACATTTGTTCTCTACAGCTATTTGCTATCTTACAATATATATATGCAATAGGCGAGCTATGCTGTTCTCCAACAGCTCTTGTTAATTATAGTACTAACATGTTGGATGTTTATGTGGATATCAAAAATGAATAGTTGGCTACCAACTCTTCCGAGCTGCAGCCAAATATCTGGATGTTGTTTATATCATTGATACTCGGCACTGTCTGCTGTTGGTTTTGTACCCGATAGAATGGTGATGGCTTTAGATAGATACTACTACAACATTAACAATAGTTTTATACCAAAATATCTTACAAGATATTTTTTTGTTATATCAACCACGTAAACAGTCAAATGCATTTCGTGTTTTGGGGTAATCTTAAGGTTTAAGTTTTTGGGCAATTGTTTTTGTGAAGTGTTGGACAACTACCATCAATATGTTGGATGTTTATGTGGATATCAAAAATGAATAGTTGGCTACCAACTCTTCCGAGCTGCAGCCAAATATCTGGATGTTGTTTATATCATTGATACTCGGCACTGTCTGCTGTTGGTTTTGTACCCGATAGAATAACGACATGTTTACGAAACAGTCTTCCATGTATACATAGACCTAGGTCTCTGATGTATACCACTGAGATAACAACTCTCTGGTGACGTAGATTATGTTCAGTTTTATGTTCAAATATACCCAGCAATATATAATTGGTTCCTTCATATGTTTTAAGGTAGAAAATACATATGATATAGCTCATGGTTCTCCAGAATCCAATTTGGCCCGTGTAATAATGCACTTGTTGAATTGAGTAGCTGGTAGAAACGACAATGACGCGTGTCAATATCGTAGATACCCAATGAGTGTATGGACTTCAAGGATAAGTGTTCAGCAGTATTAAGGAAGTTGAACAACTATTTTACGTTGAATGTCTTTGTGAAAGTAGGAAATACGTTTGAAACAGCAAGTTCAATTTATTATTATTCTCAACAATTTTCTCCCATTTTCAGATAACACTCAATAGTCAACCCTCATATAACCCACATGCCGAAGAGGAGCGCGAGACATTGCGAGACTTTGACACTGTTACAGGAAATGCTGTAAGTACAGTATAACTTATTGTTTACAGACGTTGTTAATTTGTCGTTTTAGTACTACTATAGTGTCGTTATGCTTTTAACAGCTTTTAGTTTCGTTGTCAATATGATTGCCAACTGGCACGTGACATTGAAGCGCGCTGTGAATGCCAACTGGCAAGTGTCATTGAAGCGAGCTGTGAATGCCAACTGACACATGACATTGAAGCGCGCTGTGAATACCAACTGAAGGTGTTCAATACTTATATTTTCTATTTATAAAAATATTTGAAATACATCTTTTTTTAATCAAATTCAGCATTTCGTTCAAATGAGTACACAAATGAGTACATGCATGGTATAATCTTGTTTAAATGATGCAGTAATAGATCAGGCATTGGCAAGAAACATCTCCTAAAGTCATTCGTCTGCAGTAAGTGATGTTTGACATCAACAATAGTTCAACAAGCCGTATAAGCCCGGCGGGGACAATGATGTGATATCGTTACTCCTGACCATTAGTAAGGGACAACACGCACCACGTGCCTCACGTGTTACTCCAGTCACGTGTTACTCCAGTTCTACAGAGTTCTAGTGTAACCGTTTGCTGGAGTGATGACCGTATTAAGGACATGCTGTGGTTCATGCTATGGTTTCGTTGTTTTGATTTAAACACCTCAGATAACACCTATCACTGAGCGTATACCGCTGCTTTTGTTGATTAACACATACATATTTACCGGTACACATCGTCACCTACGCTGTATACCATTACTCATGCATATATAAGTGTTCGTTAACCAACTTCCTTAATCATTTGTTCAATACAAATGATATCTTTAATTGATCATTTTTATTTACAGTTGACATAATTTATACTTAATTCGACTGGCAATTAAAAAATATTTTTCAGGTCGTGTTCTGTCACGAGTAATTCTGTATTTCCGATGTAGTTTGTTTTTTAATCTGGGTTTCCTCTCCTGATATTGCCTCACGTCGGTGTTGTGTTCGGGATATAGAATAGAGTAACAGTTTACTAAGTTTACAACAGTGGCGGATCCAGAGACCTATATCTGGGAGGGGGGTTACATTTCCAGGGGGGTTTCCATGTGGGGGAAAATTGAGGCAAATGGTGAAAATATATGATTTTTAAAGAAATATAATCTCAGGGTGGGGGTTCCTGAAGCCTAAAAATACCCTCTGGATCCGCCACTGTAGAAGTAAATATGATTTATAAATTAACACAAACCCGATTTCGAAGGAAGTCAGAAATGGATATCTGAATACAAATATCAATTAATAAATGGGGCTATGGTTTGGTTTTACAGATCGACTTCACCACTATTCTGACGAGCATGTTTTCGGAGGCTGGCCTGAGGGAGAACAGCAAGGTGGTGCTGTACGAGAAGGACTACTTGATCCAGATGTCTACCCTGGTGGGGAATCTAGGTCCCAACAGTACCAGGTCGGCTTACTTGTCACCTCCGTTAAAATTTCAGTGAATAATCAGTATCAGGAACCGTTAATAGAACGAAACATTACCTAGAAGGCAAATGATAGTCCGGGAAACCCCCCAAATTATACTGTATTAAATTAAACCTTCTCTTCACGTCTTATGAGACAAACGTTAGATGCGAACATTTTGGTGACGTCATGCTGTTCGAGGAATCTGGTTTGCACTGACGATACAAACACTTCAATATCAAATTATAAGAAAAACTCTATATTCAGGTCAGTTTTAATTAAAACATTAGAATGCCACTTGGTATGGAATAGAACAAGGTAGAGACACGTGTTAGACCGGAATAGACAAAGGCAGAGACAAGTGTTAGACCGGAATAGACAAAGGCAGAGACACGTGTTAGACCGGAATAGACAAATGCAGATACACGTATTAGAACGGAATAGACAAAAACAGAGACACGTGTTCGACCGGTATAGAACAAGGTAGAGACATGCCTTAGACCGGAATAGAAAAAGGCAGAGACACGTGTTAGACCGGTATAGAACAAGGTAGAGATACGTCTTAAAACGAAATAGAAAAAAACCCCAGAGACACGTGTTCGACCGGTATAGAACAAGGTAGAGACACGTCTTAGACCGGAATAGATAAAGGCAGAGACACGTGTTAGACCGGTATAGAACAAGGTAGATATACGTGTTAGACCGGAATAAAACAAGACAGAGACACATGTTATACCGGTTTAGACAAAGACAGAGACACGTGTTAGACCGGAATAGAAAAAGGCAGAGACACGTGTTAGACCAGATTAAACGAAGACAGACACACATGTTATACCGGTTTAGACAAAGACAGAGACACATGTTAGACCGGTTAAGACAAAGACAGAGACACATGTTAGACCGGTTTAGACAAAGACAGAGACACATGTTAGACCGGTTTAGACAAAGGCAGAGACACGTATTAGACCGGTTTAGACAAAGACAGAGACACATGTTAGACCGGTTTAGACAAAGACAGAGACACGTGTTAGACCGGTTTAGACAAAGGCAGAGACACGTGTTAGATTGGAAAAGACAAAGGCAGAGACACGTATAAGACCGGTATAGAACAAAGTAGAAACACGTTTTAGACCGGTATAGAACAAGGCAGAGACAGTGTTAGACCGGAGTAGACAAAGACGGAGACAAGTGTTAGACCGGAAAAGAATAAGGCCAAGACACGTGTAAGACCAGATTAGAACAAGGTAGAGACACGTGTTTGACCGGTTCCTGAGTAACTACTTGGTTTAACCCTGTATACAGTATCTAATGTATTACCTAGGATCATGAGTAACTACCTGGTTTAACCCTGTATACAGTATCTAATTGATTACCTAGGATCCTGAGTAACTACTTGGTTTAACCCTGTATACAGTATATAATTTATTACCTAGGATCTTGAGTAACTACCTGGTTTAACCCTGTATACAGTATCTAATTTATTACCTAGGATCCTGAGTAACTACTTGGTTTAACCCTGTATACAGTATAAAATTTATTACCTAGGATCTTGAGTAACTACTTGGTTAAACCCTGTATACAGTATCTACTTTATTACCTAGGATCCTGAGTAACTACCTGGTTTAACCCTGTATACAGTATATAATTTATTACCTAGGATCCTGAGTAACTACTTGGTTTAACCCTGTATACAGTATCTAATTTATTACCTAGGATCCTGAGTAACTACCTGGTTTAACCCTGTATACAGTATATAATTTATTACCTAGGATC